ATGCAAAAAAGGGAACAGAAGGAAGTTCAAAGAAACACAAACAAGTAGGACAGCTTTGGAACTAATGAATTTATTATATGTTTTTAAAAAACTAAGAAGTATATAATAAACATTCACAGTTTCATCTACAATCATCTTTTTCTGCCCTTATTTGTATATGGAAATGCTCATGTTTGTCAATGTCGGTCAAGTTCATAAAAACAAAAAAAAGGAACAATTTTGAAAAAAAATTTGAAAATTGGATGGTATTCTAAAATTGTGTACCATAACAGTAAACTTAAAAATCCCATAACTTTCAAACTCATATTCCATCTCTAAGTCATTCTAAAGTTTTAAGAAAATGTAATAAAACAGTCTCAAGTTTCTGAGAATGCATATTCTCTGAACTAACTCCTGAGGATTTCAGACTTGGTTGAGAAACACTGACATCTGCTTATTGGTGCAAGTTGTATGAATTTGTTGGTAAAGTATAAATACCAAATCCTAATTTTGTGAGAAGGAATTTCACTAAGATAAAGAAGAAAAGGGGAAAGCAAATCACAGGACAAAAACTCATGACATCCACAAGAACGCTTTAGGAGGACATATGCACTGAAGTTAAACTTTAAAATAGTAGGAAATTTCTGATACTTTAATCATCCACAGAACTTCCTGATCTTGCAAGCTTCTCTGCATTGTAGGGTACATGATATTCTTATGACTCATCCTAGATGTGATTAACTGCCATGTTCTGATACACGGATGTGTCATCATTCACCCTAATACTCAACTTCATACTTGAATATTTATTTTCTTTAAAAGACTAAAGAGAAATTGATAGCCTTTGAAATGTAAAATAACTGCTCATTTAAGAAAACAAAAATGAGGAGTGGGTTAATATAAAATAAGATTTCAGAATATTAAAAGATTTGTAAAATTAATTTTGAAGAGAAAGGGAAATGAAATAAGTACAATAAGTCCAGGAAGCTCTTCATGTTAGTGATAGGAATTCGTTGATTAAAAGAATACTGTGAAATGAACTTCCAGGAAAAGTATGAAAAAGAGACAAAAACATAAACTTTATATAAAGCAAATATTAAAAAATTTAAAACATTAAAAAGTAAAACATGCAAAAGTCATGTACATAGGGAATTATTTTCTGTTTTAAAAAGAATAGTAGAGAAGGCATATGGAATAGTAGAAAGAGAGCTGGCCTCAGGATCCAAGAAGACCTGGAACCTCGGATACACATTGTCTATGCGACCTCGGGCAAATCACTTAACCTCTATGGCGTCCCAGAAAATGCTCAGACTTAGTAGGTGTTGATCTGCATTGAAAAGGGGATTCTCCTCATGGGGAGTTCCCTATGCCAATGAAATCACAGTTTTGGTAAAAAAAAAAAAGAGAGAAAGAGAATGAAAGCTTTGTTTCACAATGGGAAGTAAAATGTAAAAGAAAAGGCCAGGGAATTTTATATAAAGAAAAGCTCAATTTTAGGTTATATACTCCAAACTACTAATTTTCTGGAAAAAAAAATTCTCACATGTCTTTTTAGCACAGCTATGTTTTCACAATTTGCAAATCACAAACCCTATTCAAACTAAATATACCTAAAAATCCTATCCTCAGATAAGAGGAAAAAAAAGAAAAGAAAAAAGCTCTGAAAACTGCTGAAAAGACAAGGCTTTCAGGTCAAGGGAGATTCGAGTCAAGCATAAAGTAGAAGTGATGATTTTCATTCAGCATTCAAGGAAAGACAATTTCCTTATTTATACTTACTGTTCCTCACCCAGGAAAGAAATATTTTGACTTATCTACCAAGGGAGAAATCTAGCAAAAGAAAGAAACTTGCTAAAAAAAAAAATTACAGTCCACATTGCTCAATTGAGTTTTCCTTTTTAAAAAAAGGACAAATTTTGTTTTTCTTTTTTAAAGAGTAGTAGACGAAAAAGAAAAAAAAGAGCAGTAAATGTACATTATGCACTACACACTTTTAAAAGAATTTTAAGATCTCATCTCCATTACTTTGAAGTGAGAAATGTTTGTAAAAAGAACCTCTTAATGTAACTGAGAAAAAAATATTTTAAAGATTTATACCTAAAGGTTTACTTTTTCTTTGTAGGTCAAACAATTATAGGAAGAACTTTCAAAATAAGATATATTTGTAGATTAAGAAGATCTTCAGTCAACCATGCTTTGTTTAATCAAATGATGAATGAGTCTCATCCCAATTTCCACAGTAGCAGAGAATGAAAATTAGAGGAAGAAACTAGTTGATTCAACATGAATTGTTTTTAAGTTCTAAGCAGTACTCATAAGTTACTAAGAAGTGAATCAATTTCAATCTAAATACTTTATTTTCCAAATTTACAACACTGTAAAAATTCTAAAACTATTTAAAAACAAAAAGCCATGAAGAACCATAATGTGTAGAAGATGATAAACAATAAAAATCTTAACAAAACAATATTTAAATAAAGCCACATTTCAATCATTGTACCACTCAAAAGATAAGGATTTTGTAAAAGTTATATAGCACATATTGTGAGCCAACTTACCCTTCCTGTGTTTCCAAGAAGTCCTCATAAAAGGACATAGGTCTAATGGGGAAAAAAAGGATTCCTAGAAATCCAGTGAACAATGAAGGAATTAGTGTGGGATAGCACCATTTTTGGTAGGGAAAAGATGTGTGTAGAAAAACCATTTTAAAGAGGCAAACCAACTATATACATATATATATATATATATATATATATATATTATATATATATATATATATATATATATTATATATATATATATATATACACACACACATATATGTATATGTACATATACATATATATGAGTAAGAGCGAAAAAAACTTTAAAAAATACATTTCAGAAAATATCTATATACTAATGCATTTACATTTACATTTAAATTGTTTTATATTTTAATGATTCTCCATACAAAAAACATACATAACATTTTTCCAACACACTTTATTTTTCCTTTTTAGAAAACACCTCAACAGAACTATCCACTGGTTTTGATTTAACAGTTACAATGTTACTGTCCTATTGTAAGGTTTTATACATTACACTCAACAAAGTAACAATCCATATAAAGTAAATGAAGAGTTTTTGTGGTGGTTGTGAATTTGGATCTAAGAATATCAGAAAAAAACAAGGCCATCACTTAGGCAGATAATCTGAAAACTGAATGCCTGGCTCCCTCTTGTGGCACAGGTGAGCATTATCATAAGTCCTTTACAGCATTCAGTATTGTGAAATGCATTATTACAAAAAAGACTACTTTACATATGAACAATACATTTTAAAGTTACTACAGAAATAAACGGACATTTCATTAAAAATGTGTTAGATAACAAACTGCTAAAAATCTCTATAAAGTTGTAAACATCTTTTTGTGTAGACAAAAAACAACCTTAATTCAATGTGGCTGCTTATGAGTGCTCTAAATGAACACATAAAGTCTATACAAGTTCACCAACTATGGCTTGTTCCAGTTGTTTGAGCTAAATAACCAACTTGAATTTGGTGGGAGTAATAACAAAAAAAACACTTCAGAATTTACATTGGTTAACAACTAATGATAAAACTTCATATTCTGATGTGATTAAATATAATATAAGTTTGGCTTTGACCTAACAGAGATAGTTACCTAAAACAAATGGCATGGGAAGAAAATCAGATTATATGCCTAATAAACCCCTCTTTCCCCACATCACTAGAAAAAACAACAAAAAAAACCTTGACATTAAGCAAGAATATTTAACAAAAGAAATCTCATTTTCATGCTAAAAGCTGTATTAAAAAGATATAAAAACATGAAAAAGCCAAGGATGTTTCCTCTTTTACCAACGAAGAAAAGGTCTACTTTAGAAGGTTTTTTAAAATACGCATTCCTCATAAATTTGATGGAGAGTCCTTCCATATGAAGGATATTCACCCAGTACTACACTAGGCATTCTGATCCCTATGCTTTCCTCTCCCTTGACTCCTAAAGGACTCACACATCAAAAAGAATAGAATTCGTATTATCTTCACTTGACCAAGGTCATAGGTGACAGAAAAAACTGCTTTTTCAGTCAACCCATGAAAAATAAAACTGAGCTCTACCCTTTCTGAGACAATTTATTTTTTAAAAAAAGGTTTGGTACAATACCTATGACTTGAAGCAAACTGTGACAAAATGAGCTCTGTGCCTGATGGAGATTATCCTTCCAGAATTCTTTGAGCCGTAAAATGAGATTGAACCTTTTCTGATTAAAAAAAAAATTCTTCACTATAATGATACTGGAAAAAAGAGTGGATTTCAAAAAACTTCCAAGCGTGGTTGCAACACTGTACACTGAAAAAGCATCAGATTCTAAAGTATTCAGTCACTAGACCATAATTTTGGAAAAGTGGCAAAAAAAATATAAAGAGAGATTCCATTATAAGCTCTGTTGCTAGTCTAGACCCCAGAAAGACAACAGTTTAATTAACACACTTCTAAACGAATTCCATAAAAGTTGAACATATTTCATTCCAGCTGTAACTTCTGCTGCCTTTTTTAATTTTTACATAAATAATGATCTGAAACCAGTGGATATGTGATAGGTACTTATCAGTCACTCAGAATACAAAATTTACTCTCTCTCTATATATATATATCCTTTTGTTGAACCATCCCCAGAAGATGACTGACACTTTTTAGTTCTTAATATTTGCCAAAGTTAGCAAAAGCAAGCATTCTGAAGGACAACTAAAAGTGTAGCAAATGTTAAGTACTATGGTCTAGTAGGAACAAATTCTCTGAAGGTTTTACAATGAATAAAACTGTCAAAGTAACCTGAGATTTTAAATGAAATAAGGAAGACACTATAAAATTCCAGTAAGATCCTGAAAACACATGGGTATTGTATAATTATATTTTTAAATTTATTTTTAAAAGGAACAGTGCATCATTTTTGTAAACTCCCACACGATAAAGGGCATACTCTTAAAAGTCAGAACAAGGACAGTTTTCTTACCTTTCTTTAAACAGTTCACTTTTTTGTTTTCTAGTAGCAGAAACAGAGCTCTTGTTAGGTAATCCAGGAGGAAGCTGGCTACTGACCACTGCCTTATAAAACTAAATTTCAAAAAGCATTAAACAGTTAACCAGAGTGTTTTACTTTGTTAATACTGTAATGATCTACAGCTGCTCTAGAAAAATATCCCTAAGTTATTAGGCAACCAAACAATTTAAAAATAAAATTTACCATATATTCTATACAGAAGTACAGTCAATCTGAAAAAGCTATAAAACTATCTTGTGCTTGTGCTCTATCTAGTAGAAGAAATTCCAATGATCAGGAATTTTTCAGTCTTAGTAGGTAATGAATGTACTGTCAATAATTCCCATGTCTGACTTTTATCAAAGTTATAAAGTTCCATACCAACTAATTCAAATATTTTTGTTTAAAAAGTACCCTCCCCAAATATAACAAGCCTCAGAGCCAGTAAAGGTATATACCTGCATTTTTAAAATCATCTCATAAAAATTTATGAAAGCTTATTCCATTGAGATTATTTTCCCAAGCATTTTTCCTTGGGAGCCATGACCACTGAAAATAACTTTTTTTCCAGTGAAATTACAGTAGTGCAAACATACTGTTCTTAATGAATAGGATATGTAGGATAAAGTGCAATGTAAGTAAACATATATTTTAACCTAATTAGACTTTCTTAGTCCTTGATAAACATGAAATGTTGAAAAGAAACAAAAGAAAAGAACATTCCACTAGGAGTAGTTAACTCTTTAAACTTTAAATAAGCTTCAGAATTCAGGAACACTTTGAATTCTCTGTCACTGCCAAACTGGGGAGTGGGGGATGCTTAGGCACTACAGCTTCTATTCTGAGTCCCTCACAGTTCTACAAACTACAGACTACAGAATTACTGCTATTTCAGACCATAAGTCCAGGCACTTTTCCACAAAGGCCTTTATTTTCTTCTGCTCAAGAGGTCAGAAAAAGAGAAGATTTTTTTGTTTGTTTGGGGGTTTTTTTTTGGTTTGTAAATCTGAAGAAATGTACCGAGAAAATTCTAGAGAATATTTCACATTATGCATGTGAAAATATTATACTGTAAAAGTCCTTTCTGAATTTAGAGTGGTAAGAAATTTGGGTTAAAGCCTAAAACATATTTTGCTTCCCTATTTACAAACTAAGCAGATATAAAAGCAATAATGACCTAATTTTTAAAAGTTAACACTTTCTCAATTGCCTTTTATTGTGTACAGGTTTGTAACTTACGAATTATCCCCCCAATCATCTGCTTTGATGTGACAGAAAAGTGATTATGATTTCCAAACATAAATTTAAAAAACCCTAATAAGAATCTTATTTTTATATATTGTTTTAATTTAAGAATTGCTATTTAATCTTCAAAAAGTCTCCATTGAGACAACCAGTAAAGTCACTGTTAAAATGCATGAATTTTAACTACAATTCCTCCAAAAGTAGTTTCTTTTAACATCTATACTGTCAAAACTATAAAATTTGATGAGGGTCTTATATAAATTAAAAATGGAGGCAATTTGGCTATGAGAATCTCACCTTAGGACTTCTGCATTTACAGCCTCAAAATCAAATGTTCATACCAAATAACTTTACTTTGAAAAAATAAAGAGGAGTCATATAATTTCACAGACATCACCTGTACCTTTATGGACTGTCAGTCTTTGGTTTGGGAACCAACTTCTTTCCCAAACTGCCTTTGTTGGTATTTGAATGTAGTATGACTATGACTACAGCAGAATTGTCCTCAGTGCTACCAGATATAGGATTTAATACAGAAGTTTTCACATAATACAATAACCTGTTGACAGGGATGGGCATGGACCTAGTAACCCAGTATATTATCAAAAGAAAAATTAGCAGCTAATGCAATAAAAAGTGAAGATGACTTTTTTTGCCCTCCCCCATTACGAACTTTTATTTAAAAGGACATACTTTATTCTTACACAGCCACAAGTCAAATTTCATTTCAGCATTTAATGCTACCTAGGAAATTCTACTGCTTTTTGGCAAATGAGATTAATACATTTCTACAATTTACAAGGCCAATAAAATGTTTAAGAACAGGCATGGAAAGCTATGAACCAAAAGAGGAAAGATTAGAAGGAAAAAAATTAGAAGGAAATGAAAGAAGGGTTTGGCAAAAAAAAAAATTCCCATTTTAAACCATACCAGACTACTATGTTTTCCCTTATTTCACAATATATCAATATCACAATATATCAATATATCACTGGATAGAGTCTCACTGACTTTCACTTAATTGCTGAGGCAAGCCTGTTAACTAAAAAAGACCTTCTGAAAATTTAAATTTTTCCATGCAGAACACATTTCAATCCCAGAAAACTGGACCCTTTATAACAGAAATACTTGATAGACCAACCTATGGCTGAGCTATTACCACTCAAACCCACTTTCAAGTTAGCTTTCCAATTAACATAAGGTTTGTGAGGATCAGAGAAGTGACCATTCTAACAAGAAATCCAATGCTGCAATTTTTATCTTAGGGCCTCCATTTAAATTTTTAAGTTGGTTAGGAAACAGATTTAGAGTAGTGAGAAAGGAAATCAAATTTTACTGCAGGTTAAAACATTTCTACAAAATAAAAAAAGCAACTTAATGTTAACCCCGCAGAGCTAGTAATAGATGAGTTTAATTTTACATGGGTCACAAGCAAAAAGATGCTGAAAGTTGAATTTTGACAGTAGCCCTTTAAAATGAAAATTGAAGAGTACCTTATATCCAATAGTTCTAGTGAGAAATCAATGCTGACAAAAACGTTAATATTCTAAAAGGCTTACCCAACTCTGAATGCATCATTAGCACAATTTTAAATACTTCCAAAAAAAGTTTCCTAATATAAAAATGATTCCTTGTTTTAACAACCAGTTTCAAGAAAACAATTCCAGTTCTACTTCTGTTAAATTTGCCTAATTACACAAACCTAAGCAGAAACTTAATAACTGTGCTGACTGCATCTAAATTCAATTAGAAACATTCATTTTAAAGAACAGATTTTATATTAATCTCACGACTGTTTCTTATTGTTTTGTTTTTACCTTAACTACTGCATGCCACAGGCTTGCTAATGCAAATGCTCGTAGAGCTAGCAACCACAGTGCTATCTGAAGATTGTTTGTTGTACATTTTAAACTTGAAAGCATTTTCTTATATTCTATTGTTTGCTCCGAAGACATGAGGTTTAGATAGTCAAGGAAAACATATTTTGTTTCATCATTCAGAAGCACTTCAGGGTATTCACACAGTGTTGCAGAAAGGACGGCGTGCAGGTGAGAGAGTTGTAACTCAGTGCCTAGTTCCTCAAAAAACGCACTTTGTAGTTCATCCTCAAAGAGCCCCATTTCTAACTGCAGCAAGTTTACTTTTTGTTTGTATGATAGTTCTGACAGCCAGAAATTTGCAAACCGTACAAAATTATCCCCTATGTGACACCACTCTCTGAGGTCATTAATAGAACAGATAGCTCTTTCCAGCCAGTCACTGACTACTGCTTCATTAATACCACAGAAAATCTTAGCAAAATGTTCTTTGACAGGAAAAACCACATTAACTGACTCTTTCTGAGCAGCTGCTTTAGTTGAATTTCTTCTTGTTGATTTTCTCAAATAAGGAGGCATTTTGTTACCAATGTGTGGCAACAGATCAGCCCTACTCAAATAATTCTTCATCTCAGAAGAGAACAGCTCCTTATGTAAACTTCTGTTGAAATCAGCTCTGGGTTTATTTGACCAGGAACATGTGTCTGATAGGTAAGGGATCTCCTTCTGCTGTCTTTCATTAACTTTACAAAATAGTTTGTTGGAATCAATGTCTTCTTCCCCTTTCATGTTAATGAGGCAACTGCCCAGAGTAGTTCTTCTGTCTCTCATAAGCTTCCATCTTATGAAGCAGTAAACCCAGAAATAGTACTTTGTTACAGTTAGTCGAATATATTCAGTGGATCTCAATATGTACCTGAAAAAAAATTATCAAATTAGTATCTCTTTTGAATTATAATCTTAAAATACTGAAAATAAAAACTAGAACAGTTTTTAAATCTTGCTACTTAGGAATCAATATATTCTTTAAGAAATGTGAAAGATACTAATGGGTGACTCCTATACATGAAAAGCACAATAGTGGTCTAAATTCAAGTAAAAACCTATCCTAAACAGATAAAAAGATATAGATTTCATAATCTTTTTTTCCTTTTTTTTTGGGTTAGGCAATGGGGTTAAGTGACTTGCCCAGGGTCACACAGCTAGAAAGTGTTACGTGTCTGAGGCCGCATTTGAACTCAGGTCCTCCTGACTCCAGGGCCGGTGCTCTATCCACTGCGCCACCCAGCTGCCCCATAGATTTCATAATCTTAAAACGCATTGTTATTTTTAAAAATTAATTATTTAGATCTTAAAAGCTTTCAAATACTCAAGCTAAATACTGACTAAAGTCAGAAAGTCAGCATTAGCAAAGTAATTATTCTGAGTATCTTTTACTACCATGTCTGTAGGAAATTAACTAAAAAGGAAGGCTTTGGAACAAGTCTTTCAAATGAATCTTTGAAATATGTTTTCATGAAGGCTCTGGATAAGTTTTACTAAATATCTTTGTATTAACTTACATAGTACATGATATCATTCATAGCTTATGTATAAGCTGCCAAGGAAGTGCTTCTTTTAGGGAAAGGAGAGAGAGAAAAGGTATCAGCCCTTCTGAATATCAGAACCTGGAGGAACAAATTAAACCTGAAAATTAAGTTTGACAGGAGAAGGCAGTAAAATGTTTCTTAAAAAGCCTCCAGATTTTCCTTGCTATCTGTTTGTAGGTACAGTTGCAATAGAACATCCACTTTTCTATTTGAATCTAAGGATTCTGATGCATGAGGTCACCTAGGAACTTCGTGGAGACAAAAGTTGATTAGCCCACACAATATGAAAATTAAGTTAGTTCCTCATTGCCTTGGAATTCTGCTGTAAAGAAAAAGTCAGTATGCCACTGAATAACTGCGTGTTTCTAAAAGCCTGACTACCAATAACTTTAAATTTGCTCCCAATCATAACACCTGTTTTCTGTAGCGACAGCTACTGAAATAACTAGTCATACATTTAATACAAATGAGAGCAAGGAAATATACTTGAATTGCCACTTAACATCACTCAGTATCTTCTGTAAAAAGTAAGCAGATATTAGATAAAACAGCATTTTTTACAGTCAGAAATCACAGAATTTCAGAGCTGGAAGCAATTTCAGTAGCGATCTGAATCCAGCCCATACCCTATAAATCCTCTTCACATCATCCTTGATTAATGATCATCCAGCCTTTGCTTGAAGCATTATCCGACAAAGCAGCCTATTCCACTTTTGGAAAGATTTAACTGGAAGGAAGTTTCCTTCTATCAGGGCAGCCAGGTGACTCAGTAGATAGAGTGCCAGGCTTGGAGTGGGGAAGACTCATCTTCCTTGAGTTCAAATCTGGCCTCAGACACTTAGTAGCTGTATGATACAAATCACTTAATCCTATCTACCTCAGTTTTCTCATCTGTAAAATTAAGTGAAGAAGAAATTGGCAAACCACTCCAATATGTTTGCCAAGAAAATCCCAAACTGGGGTCACGAAGAATGAGACATGACTGAAAACAACTGAACAACAACAAATTCTTTATATCAAATCTCTGAAAATTGCAACCACTTCTCCACGTTCTGATCCCTGAGGCTAAGTAGAATAAATTTAAACATTTTTCCTGCTGACAGTCAATACCATACAGTTATCATCCACCACCACCCAGCAACCCTATTTAGTCTTCTGTTCTTTAGGCTCAACATACTCCTCTCTTTCAAATGAAATCGCATGGAACTCAAGGTCTTTTACCATCCTGATTGCCCTCTTCTGGACATTCTCCAGCTTATTAATGTTTTTAAAATGAGGTGCCCAAAACTAAACATCATCCTCAAAGATATGGTGGGACCATGGCAGAGTAGCCACTGGAAATTCTTAAAATCATGAAGGGCTAAATGAATTATTCAGTACTGAAGTTTTGCTAATTTTAAACAAATAACACAATACAATAAATTACTAATGTTAAAATTCATGAATAGCATATTATTTTTATAACATTTAGGGGGTCCAGATCTATGATTTCATTCATTTAAGGAAATCCCCATGAGGAAACTCCTATCACCAACAAAGAGAGATCAACAGCTCCTCTGTAACTGGAGAGCTACCTTATATCTCTTCAGCATTACAGAGCCAGTATGTATCAGAAGAAGGGCTTCTTTATTATGTTACAATAAATAATAAATTATTAATAACAATGGCAGCTCAAGTTTAAAAAGCATTTTAAGATTTACAAACCTCTTTCCTCATAGTAATGCTCTGATGGAAGGTTATGTCATTCCCATTTTAAAGATAAGAAAATTAGAACTGAGGGCAATTAAGTACCCAGAGTCATAATGCTAATAAATATCCAAGCTGGATTCTCAGGCCAGAGTATTTGACTCTAAATCCAGAGTGTTTTCCCAAAATGTTCTACTACTTTTCAATTCCACTCACAAAGAAATGAGTAAACCTGTTTCTCTACAATCCCTTCAAAACTGTTTCACTATTTCAAATTATTTTAATCAATTTGTAGGATGCAAGGTTAATTTGATTTGCACCTCTGATTATTTTTATTTGATTATTAATAAGGTTGAGCATTTTTAAAGTGATTAACCATGTGTATTTCACCTTTTGTAAACCGTGTATTCATACTCCTTGATTATTTTATCCACTAGGAACTCTAAGGTATCTTTTAAATTTTTAACAGTTCTTTATGTATATTTACTACCACGTTCTTCCTCTGTCAAATACATCATCAATTTATTTTTATTTTGGTTTATGTTGTTATGCAAATTTTTTTCATTTTAATGTAATCAAGCACATCTATTTTTCCCCTGATAATTTCTTCTCTTCATTTAAAAGAAAAATTATTCTCCCTTCTGTAACTAATATAAACACATTATTCCAATTTCTTCCATATTTTAAAGTTAATTTTTATTTTTAAGATTATCATCTAACAGGAATACTACAAACTGTAGCATGAAGTATGAGTGTCAGTCTAAATCCATTCCCTGACACTAACCAGTTTTTTCCAAGTAATGTGTTAGAAAGAAAACTTATAGAAAATAACAAATGGGGATAAGAGATGCTAATTTTTGTGTGTATCTTTTTTTCTGCCAGATAGTTCTAATTATGTTTCACTGATCTACTTCTCTAATTTTTCCCAGCACCAGAGGGCTTTGATAATAACTTCCTTCTTGGTTCTTAGGTCAAAAAACAGTGCAAAACAGATCTAGTAGAACAGAATAAAAACTATCAGACATGCAACCAAATAATATAAAAGTATATTTTGACTCTTCTCCCCATTTTTATTTTCTGTAGATTTTAAAAAACACATGAATTTGGAAAAAAAATTTTAAATACATGTACTTTGTAAGTGATACGTCAAGAAAAGGATTTATACTTATTATATTTCATCCTTAACACTGGGTATCCTTAACTCGAAGAAATAATAAAATTCATATGGAATGTCAAAAAGGTCAAAAATCTCAAGGTAAATAATGAAAAAAGAAAAGTAGCAAAACTGTAGCACATCAAAATTATTTGCAACAATTTTTAAACATTAAAGCTGATCAATGTGTTCCACAGGGCAGGTGAGACCCAGAAGCAATTAAAGATAGTAGCCTAACATTCTATAAAACCCAAAGACAACAACTGTTGGGGTAAAGACTCCATATTCAACATATTCACTTGGGAAAAGTAGAAAGCAGTTTGGCAAAAAAAGTTTTAAACCAACATCTCACACCACATGCCATAATAAATTCTAAACTGATACACGACTTAATTATAAGAGGTCACATTAAAAAAAATCAAATAGAAGGTATCTTGTGCAACTACGATAGGAAAATTTTTAACTGCAGAAGGGATAGAGGTTATCAAAGAAGACAAAATGGCTAGTTTTGATTATTAAAATTGAAAACCTTCTGCATAAACAAAAGCAATGCTGCTAGAATCAGAAGAGTGGCAGTTAATAGAGTGGGAACTTACAATTATCTCTGTAAACGGTCTAGAATCTAAGATATGTGTGTGTATCTATATATACATATATGATACAAATACGTAAAAAACAAGGACGGGCAGCTTTGTGGCGCAGGGGATAGAGCACCAGCCCTGGATTCAGGAGGACCTGAGTTCAAATCCAGCTTCAGACACATAATGCTTACTAGCTGTGTGACCCTGGGCAAGTCACTTAACTCCCACTGACAAAATAAAAAAATAAAAATAAACAAAAACAAGGGCCATTCTCCAATAGATAAATCATCAAAGAATATGAAGTTTTCAAAAGAGGAAATGCAAGCTATCTACAACAGTATGAAAGACTACTCCAAGTTACTAAAGAGAGAAACAACAAGTTAAAACCACTCTGAGGTTTCATTTCACAACCATCAGATTGGCAAAGATAAGAAAGGATAAAAATAGCATATACTGGGGAAGCTGTGTGAAGATAGGTAGGCTAATGTATTATTGTGGACCTATGAATTGGTTCAACAGTTCTGAAAAACAATTTGGAATTATATTAAAAAAAAATTAAGCTGTACATTCCCTTTAATTCAGGGATATTACTATCAGGCACATGCAACAAGGAAGTCAAACATGGAACAAAAGGCCCCATTTAATACAAAAGTATTGGTAGCTATATTTTTCACAGTAGCAAAGAAACAGGAGTGCATCCCCATCAATCCTGGAATTTTATTGTGCTGTAAGAAATGACATACGAAGAATTCAAAGAAGACCTGTATGAACTGAAGCAGAGTGAAATGAGCAGGCCCAGGAGAACAATTTACATAATAACCACAACAACGTGAAGGAAATCAATAATGAAAGAATGAATCAGTGCACTGACAATTACGGCTTCAGAGGATTTGGTGGTGAAGCACTATGAACACAATGAGGCTAATGCTTTCAGACTTGGCCCACGTGTTGACTTGTTTTTCTCGACTGTGCTTATTTGTTAAAAGGGAAGGAGTCACTGGAAAGCGACAGTGACACATTAAAAAAGCAAAAACAACCCAAAAAATCTTAAAGGGAGAAAAAAGATAAAATTAAGTACAGTTTTATTTTTATGATGTTTTCTTGATCTTTATGACTAATAAAAGAATGTCTATAATTTTATGAGTTAATCTGATATCCTAGAAACTTGCTGAATTTATTTACTGTCTCAAATATTTGGTTGAGGCAACTGAATTTCCTAAATAAGCTATCATGTAATAAAAAAATAGCATGCTGACCTCTTCATTTCCAATGATACCCTTCTAATGTTTTTTCCTTCTTTTACTGAAATTGCTAGCATTTCCAATACCATGTAAAATAGAAGTGGTGAAAATCAGCACTGTATTTGTACCTATTTCTTATGGGACTGCTTCAAATTGTTTTCCATTGCATACTATGTCGGCTCAGCTTAAAGTAGATAGTTTTATTATGTTAAGGAAAATACTTCTATTCTATTCTCTTTAGTGGTTCATGCTAAATCTCCTAAAGATTCTTTAACTTAAGATCCCTTAACATACTTATTCATAAACTCATATATGTGCTCAAGTCCATTTACTTAGAAGATAGTTTAATAAACTACAGAGTTAGGTCATTTTCTAAAAATACTTTTGCAGATCATCATAAAAATATAACTGGCTCTAAGGCTACAACTATTCTTGTCAACCCTTCTCTGGTTTAAGTGCTATAGATTCCTTTTTCGTTAACTATAAACAACTTTCAGATATTTCCCAAATACTTAATATTAAATGTT